AAAAACAAAAAAAAAACTACATTTTGGAGTTCCCTTTAGGTACACTTTAGGTCGGGTTATTCTTTTTTAACTACTGTATTGCAGCCTTCTCCACCTCACTGCATGCTTATCTCATTCTCCTCCCTACAGCACCTTACTAGGTAGAGTTCAACGAATACCACAGTAGGTTCTGTGGTCTACTCAGATTCAACAGGAGAGTCAGGGCACAGCAATTTCTAATTTTATGCATGTAAACAATGATAATGTCTCAAATTACCTACAGACTACTCTGCATATCTCAGCATGATTCAGTAGCTCTATTCTGACACATCCACAGTCACTGCAGTAAACACATAAACTTTGTTTCTTTATGAAAATATTCCCAAGGAGAAAGCTAACAGCCATAGCTTGCAACAGAAGTGAAAGAATGGAAAGGTGGAGAAAAGAAGGGAATGGTATAAAAGAAACAGTTCTTGAGAGGTCTGTAGACTATATGTAATTATCAATGGCCTGGGATATTTGTTGAATGAGTGAAAACATAAATGAATATATAAATTTCAAAAAATGCAAATACAGCAAAGTTTCTTCTCTCTCCATTTTTACCAGCCCATATTGATGAATGGTTTTCTGGAACAGTGCTAACAGCACTCTGTATAATGATGCAAGTTTCTACTAACCTGCACTGTCCAGTTAGGAAGTCACTACCCACATGGCTGTTGAACACTTGAAAGGAAACTAGTACAACTAGGAACTAAATGTTTAATTTTAAATTCAGGATATGTGTGTGTGTGTGTGTGTGTGTGTGGTAGTCAGCTTTTCATCGCTGTGACAAAAACATGGGACAAGAACAACTTAGAGAAGGAAAAGTTTATCTTGGGCTCAGTTTCAGAAGTTTCAGTCCCTGGCTGGCCAACTTCATTGCTCTAGGCCCTGAGGTGAGGTAGAACATTATGGAGGAAGGGTTCTGGAAGAAGAAAGTTGCTCAGTTCATAACAACCAGGAAGGATAGGAGAGGAGAAGAAACAGAAAGAGAGTGAGATAAAGAAAGTAGGAGGGAGGAACAGACCAGGAACAGATACAGTCTAAGCCATGCCTCCAGTGACCTGCTTCTTCCAGCCACACCTCACCTGCCTACAGTTTCTACCCAGTAGTCCATTTGAATTATTAATCCATCAAATGGATTAATCCACTGATGAAGTTACAGTTCACATTATCCAATCATTTCACCTCTGAACACTGTTACATTACCTAACACATGAGCTCTTTTGGAGACATTTTTAGATCCAAACTATAACAACATAGCTAATGGCTACCATACTAGCCAGTTAATGCCCAGAATAAGGAATGCCTTCATCCTTGAACTTGAACTGCCATCAAATTCCATTAATAAAAGTCCAGGATCAACTTACTATTTAATAAATTTTTTTTTCAATTAGCACTTTTTCTTTCCTCCAATTTTCATTTTTATTTTACTGAGGCAGAGAAGCAGACAGCATTTAAGAGGAGACTAAGAGAAAGACGCATGCCAGGGTCAAACATAAGGCACTGTGCCAAAAGTGTTCTTTATATCATGCACTATTTCCTTTGATCCTCACAGCTACCTATGATTATCCTCAAGTCAAGAAAACTGAGACTGAGAACAATTAATTGGCTTGCCTATCACCACAGCTAAGATCATCTAAGATTCAAACCTACATCCAAGTAGAGTCTGAACCCTTAAGCACTACACTATGATTGCTAAGACTAAAATGGGCTGGATGAAAACTAGGTTTCAAAACTCCTAGAAGACTGAAGTTTTTCAGAGCACAATAAAAATTAAGCCAATCAGCTTACTTGATAAAAAGATCAAGGATATACTCAGGCAACATTCATTTCTAGTCTTTTCTTTTTACAGCCCGGAGGGATCGAACCAAGCACATGCAAAGCACACGCTAAACCACTGAGCTACAACCCCAATTCCCAGGCAACTCTCTTGATAATCAGTAAATGATGCTCAAAAAAAAAAAAAAAAAATCATACATGTTTTCAACTACAGGTATGCTTCTACATTGGAAAATAGAGCAGGAAACAGTACAAGTTTCTGCCCTGATAGGGTTTATATTCCAGTGAGGGCAGCTCTCTAATGAGATGACAACTAAACAGATACCTGACTGAATAAAAGTTGGTCAGTGAAAGGAAAGTGACCACAACACTCGGATCAACCAAAAGATCTTTATTGCAGCAGTGCAACAAAGAGAAAGGAAAGAAGGAAAGAGAGAGAGAGAAAAGAGATGAACAGGGAGAGAGCAAGAGCAAGAGACAGACAGAGAGCGCGCGTAAGAAAGATAAAGAGCAAGAGAGAGAGAGCAAGAGAGAAAGAGCAAGACAGAGGGGGGCCTGGCAGGAGGGAGTTTTTATAGCCCAAATCTAATGGGGCCTCTGGGTCTGCAAGCTGCCTTGTTGGCTCAAGGGGGGGTTAAGTGTTCAGTCTTAAGCAGGGTTGAATGTTCAGACTTGAGGCAAACAGGTGATAAAGGACCAGATAGAGGGGGGTTTGAGTGCGTGGGCTATCTTGCAGCCAACATCTGTTCAGCCTGCCCTGCAGACAACACAGTTCAGCCTGCTCTGCACCCAACAGTCAGCTATGTGAAGAAATGAAGGAAGAATGTCCCAGGCCAAAGAGATTGCAAGGACAAAACAGAAATAAAGGCATGCTGGGCACATATAAGAACAGCAAGTTAAATAAGCAACACCCTACATACATTTCCTAACTAATCTTGCCTCTTTGCATAGCAAGCACCTTCAATTAATGAGCTGACTGGCTCAGAATGCCTTCCTCAATTTTTCCTTATCAAAGAATTCCCAAAACAAGCAGGGCGCAGCCTCCAGCAGTGTGGGAGGCTGAGGCAGGAGGATCTGAAGTCCAAAGCCAGCCTCAACAATGGGGAGGTACCAAGCAACTCAGTGAAACCTGTCTCTAAATAAAATACAAAACAGGGCTGGGGATATGGCTCAGTGGTCCAGTGCCCCTGAGTTCAGTCTCTGGACCCCCCTCCAAAAAAAAGTATTCCCAAAACAGTTAACTGCCCTTCCTACTATAAAAGCACTAAACTAAACCTCACATAATGCCATACCGACTTTATTTATTTATTTTATTTTATTTTTTAAATGACCTAGTTCCTGCCATCCAGAAGTTCACAAGGGGTCTATGTGTGACATCCGGAACTGTCACGAGGCAGAGGTGACTTCTTTAATTTTTTTTTTTTTTTAAGTTTTCAGCGGACACAACATCCCTGTTTGTATGTGGTGCTGAGGATGGAACCTGGGCCGCACTCATGCCAGGCAAGCGCGCTACCGCTTGAGCCACATCCCCAGCCCTGCCATACTGACTTTAGTATCCCACTTCACTACTCCCAGCAACAAGTTCCACTTTGGGTAAAACAACATTCTATGAATTTCTCAAAACCTAGCTTCACGAAATGCCTTGGTTTTCTTTCTGTCCCTCTGCTTTCAGACTGTATTCACCTGAAGTTTCCCCTCCAGAGGGTCTAATGTGATAGCAAAATCAAAGATAAAAACTGGGTCCTGATGTGTAACTGATGTGATTCTGCAATCTGTATATGGGGTAAAAATGGGAGTTCATAACCCACTTGAATCAAAGTGTGAAATATGATATATCAAGAACTATGTAATGTTTTGAACAACCAACAATAAAAAATTAAAAAAAAAAAAAAAAAAAAAAACTGGGTCCTGGGCTGGGGTGGTGGCTCAGAGGTACAGCACTCGGCTAGCATGCGTGAGGCACTGGGTTCGATCCTCAGCACCACATAAAATTAAATTAAATTAAAATAAAGATATTATGTCCACCTAAAAAATGTTAAAAAAAAACTGGGCCCAGGCCCAGCTACCTCCTTAACTTTGACCTCAATTCCTTTATCCATGAAGAGCCAAAAATACACTTATCAGCTTCCCTCACAAGGTTACTCTTAAATCTAATCCAAATAAGAAAAACCTACAAATTGTCATGTGCTACCCCAAATCTAAGATCCAAGAAATGATGGGTTCATTTAAAGCTTAGCTCAAAATCAACAGGGCAGGTCTTGACCCAGCACACTGGCAGTCATACAATAAATGTTAAGTCAAACAAGGAGACTTTTTCTCCAATAATGGCTAGATAGGAAAAGCACATGGGCCAGATCCAACCGTGTAGCTGTATAGCCCCTGGCAGGTAAATCCCCATCACTAGGCCCTCCCTCCCCCAACCCGCACAATAAGACTTCAACAATGAAAGATCTACATTAGGGAGGCAGAATCTGAGAGACTGCCTTTACCTGCAATGTCATAAACAGAGAGCAAGAAAAGAGGAACTGGACTGAAAGCAAAGGAGTCCAGGTCTGGCTTTAGCACACTTCTTGGAGCACTGTGACCTTGGTCAATTCCCTTACCAAGCAAACCCCGCCCCTGTGTCCCCATCTGTAAGCCCGGGAAAAGAATCTAAACCGGACCACACGCCGCGCGTGCTTCCAAGCCCAGAGCGACAGGGCGCGCCCTTTTGGAGCGTGGGCCAGTTGCAGCCCGGACTGCCCCTCCCCGCCCACTCCTCATCACAAGAAGAGTTCCAAGCCCTTGCGCAGGAGAGGGATGCAACCCTTCCGGATGCAAGACGTGCCAGGACAGCAGTTTCGATTTCCTGAGCAAAGGGTCACTTCCCCCGCCGTACCGACACCGCAAGCAATGCAAGGAGCCTCCCCTACGGGCCTTCGGGATCCCGGCGGCTGCCCTCAGTCCCCACACCCGTCATCCCAACCTGGCTTTGCAGCCCGCCACGGTCCCGCAGGGTCAGATGGCGGGAGGGGCGTTGCCATAGGAACAGTGCTTAGGACCCCGGCCAGAGAAGCCCAGGGGAGGCTGGAAAGGAAGGCTCGCAAGACCGCGGTGCCCCACGGATCCCGCCCCGCCATCCCCTCCCAGGGCTGTCCCGCCCCGGCGAGCAGCATCCCACCAGTTCCGCGCCTTCCCGTGAGGCTCCACAAAACCCCTACCTTCCGCCATGTCGGGCCCGGCCCTGCCTGCAGTCTCGCGAGAAGTGTGTGAGGATCGGAGGCAAGAAGTCTCGCGAGAACTGGCGGGGGCGCGGCAAAGGGAGGAGTTGGGGGTAGGAAAGAGGCGTGAGTGAGAAGTAGAGCGGGTAGTCAGCTGAGCACCGCTGGAGACCCTTATCTCTTCACTGGATGCTTTCGAAGCTAGGGGCTTACCAGGCGCTGTCTGGGCTCTGTCGTATTCCATGCCCTTAACAGGACACTCGCTGGAGATGCTTGCTGTGAGAGGTTGGGGAAAGGGATTGTGAAAGGGACTTTGTTGGTCTTTACGTAGGCACGTGAAAGACTGGGAGGAAGGAGCTTAAGAGGGAATTTAACATAATGACGGTTCTAGGGTCCCATGGTGGGTGGGATGCTCAGCATTAGAAACAGAACTCCAGGAGAAGGGATTAAATTTAAACTAGCGGAAAGTAGGTCGCCTATTATTCTACTAAGACATTAGGAAACAACATGCTTTAAGGGGGAAGATGCAAGCAGATAGATGTGTAGGGGGAAGAGATTTCAAGAAAATTATTTGAGGACATCAGTTTCATGCCTGAAGTTTTTAGTCATGGAGACCTGAGAAGAGTGAAGAAAATTTGGAAGAGGACGCTGAGACATTGGAAGGCCAGGTTCAAGCTCATGTATGTGTAGATGGGTCACTATTTTCTTGAACTCAGCTACCTGGCTGCGGAAGCAAAGAATTCATATTTGGGGGAGGGGAGGGTACCAGGGGTTGAACTCAGGGGCACTCAATCACTGAACCACATCCCTAGCCCTATTTTGTATTTTTTTAATATTTATTTTTTAGTTGTAGTTGGACACAATATCTTTATTTATTTTTTATGGGGTGCTGAGGATCAAACCCAGGGGCTCGCACGTTCTAGGAGAGCGCTCTACCGCTGAGCCAGAACCCTATTTTGTATTTATTATTAGAGACTGGCTCTTACTGAGTTGCTTAGCACCTCGCTAAATTGCTGAGGCTGGCTTTGAACTCGAGATCCTCCTGCCTCTGCTTCCCAAGCTGCTGGGATTCTGGCGGAGAAGCAAAGAATTCAAATGATAATATTTGCCAGGGTTTGGGATTTTATTTCAAAAAATAAATTGAGGGGCAGGGGTTGTGGCTCAGTGGTAGAGCGCTTGCCTAGCATGTGTGAAGCACTTGGTTTAATTCTCAGCACTACATATAAGCAAATAAATAAAAGTCCATCAAAAACTAATAAAAATTTTTAAGAATAAATAGAGAGTCCTATGAGACTACAGCCCAGGTCATCAAATATGGCATGTAGACTGGCTAGGGGCTGATAGATGGGATATGAAAACTGCAGGACTCTATAATTTAAGTCCAATAACTGAAAAAAAAAAAAAGTTGTTAGAGCCCCATGATCAAAGTGGCAAAGTAGTTCATCAGTTGAATAGCACTAGGAAACTTAAAAAAAAAAAAAAAAAAAAAACAGTGCAAGGCCATGGAGAGCACATAAGACCCTTCAAAAATTTTTTTCAACTTGGGTGTGTTTGCTTAGCTTGCATAAAGCCCTGGGTTTGATTCTCCAACATTGAAAAAAAAATTGTTTTTAACTCAATGAAGAATTATGTAGGGGTAGTAGTAGCCTTGGAGGACAGCTGAATAGGAGATGTTGAAAGACAGGGGAACAGGATGAGGCTGTCAGAACCAGAGAAAGGATTCAAAATTGGGCAAGTTTTAGGTGCTGCCAAGGTTAAAGATTTAGTAGGAAGTGAAATGGAGTAGAGAAAGGTCATGGAAACATAGGGTCAAGGGTTGAAATTTTGAGGAAGAGGAGTGGATTCTGACTGATAGACACATGGAGTATGCAAGGGAAAGGGGAATTGAATGCTTAAAAATTAATGTTCTAAGGGCTGGGGTTGTGGCTCAGTGGTAGAGCACTTGCCTCGCATGTGTGAGGCCTGGGTTTGATCCTCAGCACCACATAAAAATAAACAAAACAAATTCATGTTCCAATTGTGGCAGGAAACTAAGAAAGCCTGGGCAGGTGCAGCACTTAGACAAGGTAGTCAGGGGAATACCTTGCCAGACTTAATGGAGATCTGATAGCCCAAAGATTTCTGTTGAGATTGGTTAATAGGTGTACCAAATGATGAGCTTTGGGGGATTTCAGGGTTAACCAGGCAAGCCAGCCTCCTGTGGCTAGAAGCACCCTCATCTGAACTGAGGATCCTAAAATATTTCAGGATAACATAAAAAAAAAAAAATGACGTGTTGTTGGGGAGTGTTGTATCATAAGACTTAGCTGGTACCTCACTGGTACCAGCTTAGGGTCCAATACATAGCAGATGCTCAAATGTTTGTTGAGGTGTTAATCACTCAGAGCTACACTGGGAGTCAGGAAAACTAAGTTCAAGTTTGGCTTTGCAATTCACTTGCTGTGTTGGTGACAGGTAAGTCCCTGCAAACTTTATGCTGCATCTCAGATTCCCCATCAGTTTCATGAGGATATTGGACTAGAACTCAAGGTTCTTAATGATTTGCAGAGTCATGATCCCCCCTTAGATAATTTGGTGAAAACCAGGACTTCTTTCCCTTAACACAGCACACATGTAGAACAAAAAACAATGTATCCTTTCAGAGTGTTCCTGGACTAGATACCTAAAACCAAACTATAACGCATTAGTGGGATTTAAGCAAGCAATCCAGGGATTTTACTACCTCTTCATCACAAACTACCTTCAAGGAGCCCTCTATCGGAGAAGGTTGTGACTCAATGGCAGAGCACTTACCTAGCACATGTGAGGCACTGGGTTCAATCCTCAGCACCACATAAAAATAAAGGTACTGTGTCCGTGTACAGTTAAAAATATTAAAAAAAAAAAAGAAATGGCTTAGTGTAAACCTATTTGAGCTAGAGAATTTAATAAAGTATTATAGTACTTGGTGAACTACAAACACCCAACTTGGGTAGCCCTAAGCTACAATAATAAATAAAAGCTGAAATATAGAAAAATTCTGAAAAAATTTTGAAAAATCTGCGCATTGGAACATGGTTTATTATTTTAGACCCAGTTCAAGTTTTGCTATCAGATTAAAAGGAACTTTGTGTGGGTTTGTCTTAGGCAAGGAACATAGGGGAGGCAGTGTGACATGGCAGAAGGGGAAGAGGAGGAAATCTCTAGATCCATGTCCAATGAACTAGGCCCAAGTACCAGCCTCAATACACATACTCTGTGTGACCTTAGAAGTCAATGTTTTGTTGTTTTTTTTTTTTAGTGTAGATGGACATAACTTTATTTATATTTTCTGTGGTGCTGAGTTCTGGAACCCAGTGCTTCACGTGTACTAGGCAAGTGCTCTACCACTGAGCCACAACCTCCAGCCCCAGAAGTCAGTGTTCTTAAGCTCTAGTTTTCTCACCTGTAAATGAGAATTAACAGCACCCAGTATATAAAGAATGTCATGGAACTGAATCCCTGCTATCTAACTTATTTGCTCTACAATATTGGCAAATTAATCTGAACCTCTTTCCTCATGGGAAACTATTACTTTGGAGGATCCTTTTAAGACTTTGACTAGGTCCTTTATGAGGCACACATAGCACAAGCCTGCCACAAAGTAGAGCCTCATAGAAGCTTAATTTCTACCGCTCTTATCCAGAATAAATTTTGTCATTGTGAACATTCAAATACTATTACTCTTTATTTTTTGTTGTTGGTGGTGGCAGTGGGAATTGAATCCAGGGACTCACATATGTGCTAGTCAAGGACTCTACCACTGAGCTAGCTCCACCTCTAGCCCTACATTTCTCTCTAATGGTTACTGCTAAGGATGGTGGGGGAAACCAAATTTCTTGCCTAGAAACTTTTGTGCAGCTCTTACGTCTTCAATATATCTGGTTGCCTTTTGTATAGTTTATTTCACCTATGTAAACAGGATCCAAAATTTTATAATCATTTAACTGAAGCTCAGGGTAGAGTGCCAACTCAACAAGTCAAAACACACAATCCTACCTTGGCAGCCAGACTGCACACACCAGAAATACCATAGCCAGGAAATGATTTGCTCTGCAAACTAAATCCTGTTGAAGTTTGCAGGCCTCCAGAAAAGGAGAAGTTTAAAATTTGGTAGGGTTGGTTACTGCCATATCTTTATGAGGGGGAGGGAGAAAAATCAAATGGTGCTTCCTGGAAGCCTAGTGCCTTGTACACAATATGCAGTATCAACAACCTGTCTGCTTGCATTGGGAACAGCATGCAAATGTTTTGATGCTATATACTTCAAGAAGATGCCTATGTATAAAATTGGTATTGAACATTCAGGGACATCATCTAGGCCCTTCCACAGTAGTTTTATTCCAAATATACTTATCAGGGAAATTAAACTATGGAAATGAGCCCCAGTCTCACCCAAGCTATTCTCAGGGAGGGTTTTCTTCTTGTTTCTAATTCAGCTCTAAAAGAGCTGGATCCATGTTCTTTTCTAAGTTTGTACAAAGGCCTTAATAGCCATTAGCAATTTATATAAAGACCCACAACACACACCCAAAGGTTCTACACCCAAAGGACTATGCAGATATTAATGGTTGGCACGTCAGTTATCAACACCTAACACTGTGAAAGGACTCAGGACAAAAAGCTAGATACTATTTTATCTTTAGAATGAATAAAGTACTCAGTTTTGCTTCTTTTGCCACTAACTTACTAAATGACTCTGGGTAGTTTCCAGTTTCCCCATCTGCTTAGCTGAGGGAAGGTAGTGATTGAAAATGATGCCTGTGTTCTCTTCCAGTTAACATTTGAGTCTGGGTTCCTCATCGTTTGAGTTATCTTTAAGGTGGAACTAATTTAGGCCAAAGACAACATTCCCAATAATGTTCTCACTTTAAGTATCCAAATTACTATGCACTGAAAATCTGATGAAAAATGGTGCTTGGCTGTGTATTCTTCATCAAGTTTCCCCTGTGCACCCTTTGGTATCATGTGCTGTTTATGCAGAAAGAATTCCACAACTTGCTTTTTGAGACCTGCATCCTAAAACCAAAATAGCTCATGATACAGCCTCTAAGTCATCATTTATTGATTTATAGAGCACCCATCACATGATTGAGGTGCTTTACAATACAGTAAACATCACAACAGAACTCACATAGTTAAATACAATCAACAAATTACAGAACTTAAAAAAAAAAAAAAACTGGAATGAAGCAATATTATGTCAAATTTCAAAGATGCTGAGAAGCGGCAGTACAAAAAAGGTAATTCCACCAACTAGAGACCAGACGGGCAAAGATACACAGGCATCACAACCCGAGGTGGGCAGATTTGTAAAGGGTGAGCAAGCATATAAAATAAAATTTCACAACTGGGAATGAAGGCCATTAAAGATACTATGTCATCCAAGTGATCACAGAACCAGTGGAATGACCTCACAAATATATTTACCTTACAATGACAAGAAAATCAACCGCATATGGATTTTAAACTCAGAGTCCAGAAAGCCACTGAGATCATCCTTTCTGTTATAAACACAGGCTAAAATCTACAAGTTTCTCAAAAAACTTGGAATAAATTTAGTAAGAGCCAACAGTTCTACACCCAAAGGACTATGCAGATATTAATGGTTGGCACAAAGTTGGGGGTTGAGGGGGGGTCCTTTTCCTAAAGCAGAGAAGAATCACCTCACACTAATGCTGAGGCACTGGTGGGACAAAAGCCACCTAGTTCAGTGTCACCTGAGTGATTTAGATATCAAACGTAGAGGCATTTAAATTCACGGTCAGATGAACACTGGGAAAGGCACAGATGACATCTCTGACAGAGGAAAAGGAATCCTCCATCTATCAAGGCCTGTGTTTCAGTTTGTAGTATGGTGAGGGGACATAGTTGGAACGAGTATGAGGAAGAGAGGCACTCGCTCCTGCCTCTCCTATTCCCCTACGTCCAGCCCTAAAAAACCACCCAGTCATACCAACATAACTGCATTAAAGTGGCACTTAAAGTTTTGTTCAGAAACAGTTGTCCCTGAGTTACTAGGTCATTTGCTACTTATTGAGCAGTCAAATCCCAGGTTTTAACTCAACAGATTGCTAGTGGAATTATAGCAATAAGAGCAAAATTCCAACTCCACAAGCAACCACTATGTGGACGATTTCTGACTTAAGAGTGAAGGAGATTGCATTCAAAGTCCCTAGTAGGAGTGCAGTCTAGCTAGCACTTTGGGGCAACAATTTTTACAAAGTCTCTGGGAAAGACAAAAGTCATTAAGTTCTTGAAGAAAATTGGGCTCCAATGAATCAAATCAATTTTTATAGTCACTGAACATGTAAGGGTTTTTAATAATATTTATGGGTTTCTACAATACTTGAATGAAGAACAGACTGGGATTTATAAAAATCACTCTTCACTGGGACTACATCTGTAACCACTTTACCTCTGCTTTAAAAAAAAAAAAAAAAAAAAAAACTGACAAACTGGTAGAGGTCTACATTACTGACAGGATTCCTTTCTATCTTCTGCCAAAGCATTTCTCCAAACCCCACAGAGGAGGGATGCACCAATTTTCACTGATTCTCGCAGTCATACGCCATACCCGATCTGGTACTGTCTCAAGTTCTATCCCTTATATGCCAAAGATTGCTTCTCACTCTCAACCTCACAATAAATAGAGAGAAGCCTAGGACTGTCTAACAGTGCACATGCTCATTTCACCAATTGCTAAAGTTTAGAAAATTTTATGATATGAAATATACTTATGCTCATAATCAAATCCAAGTGTCATACATAAGTGACAGAATCTGTATGTCAAATAGCAAAGCATTTACCTCTGAAATACTTTTAGACTCACATAAGAATCCAGATAAAACCCAATACTTACACTGCCATGGCCATGTGATTTTCAAGTATTAAGTTTGTTTGCATAAGGAATCAACCTGAGATTTTTCTAAACTGCACTTCTCTGGCATTCAGTATTATAACCTTCATTCAATACAATAAAAGCCAACAACTTGACAATTATTGGAAAAAAAATTATATTTTGGAAGAACTCACTACATAAGGTGACAGAATTCCAAAATCAAATTACATGAAAATATACATCGCAATTTCTTTGTACAATAGGTGAGAAAAATCTCTAGTATTGAAGAATAGAGACAAAGAAATATGAAGGATTAAGGAGGATATAAGGGCAAATAGCATTCTTAATAGCAAACCAAGAAGTAAAAAGCTTGTAGTTGTGCATGCTTTATTTATCCAAACTTAACATTAAGTCAACTGAAGGGCAAAAATAAAACCAAATCAGAATTTTGTATTATTTGGGGTAAATTTCAGTAAGTTGAATTTAGAACCAACTTTTTTTTTTTAAGTTCTTGGGATAATGTCTAGGTTCAAGAGCTCTCAACAGCCAGAAAATGTTATTGCTACATCCAATCCAAGAGATGGGTGCAACTAGAATACAAAAAGACAAAGCACCTAGTGATGACCACTCCTCTGAAGTCATCATTAAAAATCAAGTAATTGCTTATTAAGTATTTCCGTATTTGAACTAAATCATCTGAGAACTTTCTGGCAGATAGAAGAGATAAAAGCAAAGGGGACTGTCAAAACAAAGAAGATACAAAAGTTTAGTAAGTGACAAGGGTTTAATGAAGCCTCAATGGTTTAAAGGAAATTAAATGGAAACTTTTAATCCTAATTGCTTTTCATCTGACATGCTTTAAGGAGTCTTTTTAAACTGATAAGAAACAATGAATAGGGAAAGAAAACCTGCTAAAATCTTTTTAGAATTTACACGAGTCTTATTCTACTACAAGAAAGCATTATTTGGTACAAGGTGTATTTGTGGATGTACATGAACAGTATATATATTATCCGGATCATGTTGTGCTATGTACACGTCTTTACAATTCTTCCTGAAGGTTAAAACAGTTCATTAGAATTCAAAATGCGTAATCATCTGTAAGTTGGCACTTGTTAGGCTCTTGTCAGCATTGATAACTGGCATGTTTTATTGCAGCCCAGTTCCAGCCAGTGTTTTGCCAACTTGTTACAACAGAAGTCCAGCAATATAGGTGGGTAGAGTGCAGGAAAAACAGTGCCATGTTTCTCAATTGAAGACCTAAAAGAAAACAAACAGCATTATATAATGATTTTATAAATTACCAAATTATTAACTGACTAGAAATTTTTATTCTTTTCCTTGGCAACAAACTCTTATTTTAAGCTCACTGTTGTGATTTTTTAAAAAATATTTTTTCAGTTGTAGGTGGGCACAATACCTTTACTTTATTTATGTGGTGCTGAGGATGGAACCCAGGACCCCAAACATGTGAGATGAGTGCTCTATCGCTGAGCCACAGCCACAGCCCTCACTGTTGTGATTATCCATTACAGTATCCACTATCCATGTAACTATTTAATTTTGAATTTAAATTAATATTAAGTAAAATTTAAGATTCAATTCTTCTACCATACTATACACGGGCATATTTCTAGTATTCAACAGACACATGTGGCTAGTGGCTGTCACATGGGACAGGAAAAATTTAGTCTTTCCATATTCCAAGTCTTTCAAATTCTATCTAGAATCACAAGAAGGATTAGTTAAGTATCAAGTAATTTGGAAATTTAGAAATACTTGAGGATGTACAGAGAAACAATACTGCCATACTTCTCAACTTGCTAAAGTTAATTCTTTAGGATCAGTTCAAACCTATTTCTTTATGGAGCCACCAACAAACCCCTCCATCCCAATGATAGTTCTAATTGTTTTGTAACTGCTGGTCTCATGACCTAAATTAGATTTGAGGTCAAGAACTCATCTAAATAAAAAAAATACTTCTACCTTATCAAGTGTTTAAAATGTGCCAAACAGTGTGATAAGTGCTTTAAAAACTCATCTCAGGTAATGGTCACAATCATTACATAAAGAAGTTCCCTCCACTTTACAGAGAAAAGTAAGGCAAGGTCACACAGCTAATAAATGATAGTTTCCTATTCGAAAAAAAAAGTTAGGAAAAAACTGGATTTGAGTTTTAAAAGGGACACTTAATAACCGGATCTTTCTGACCCTTTATTATATTTAGGTGTTTCTGAATATAAAGGTGGGGTCAGAGATTGAAGGGAAGAGAACAGCTGTTCTTAGAAACCTCCATCTGCTGCAAAGTACAATTTGGGGCAAATTCAAACAGAAAATTCCTGGGAATTCAAGTGATATAATTTTAAACTCTTGACAGAGAAGCCTTAAGAGCAATGGCAAAATTTAACTCACACCATGTATGTTCATAATGTGTCCTCTAAAGCCCCAAGTAAATTTCTTAAAATCACCCAAAGCCAACCATACTAAAAGCTCTTTTGGGGGAAGGAAGGAAGCTGTGAGGCAATCTGTGGCCCAGCATATGCCTGTTTTCCATAATATAGAGAACATCTCTAAGATAGATCCGAAAAGGTGGAGCTATGGCTGTATTTCTTTACAAAACGGTTGTACCAATAAACGTATATGACCCACATCCCAGCATGAAAATGCACAAATATGAATATATTTATTACTCTGACTAGAATTGATTTTTAACATCTGCACACATACATACACATATCATTTATTAGACAATACAAAAGCATATATTGAATGAAACTCAAAAGGCAATTCTATGAAATAGGAATTATAATTTTTAGGTAATGTTACTATAGTGTTTTTTCTATATGATGCCCAAATTAATCCCTCGCCAATGAATCTCCCAAAGCTGATAAGAGAACTGGGTATGGAGTTTGTACATGTGTATATTTGGTAATCACTCCCCCCAGATATAAACAATGAAAAATTTCAGGACCACAGAGAATCATTTAAAAACTACTTTTAAGTGAGGTTTTAAATGAAAATACCTCAAAGAGGACAAACCATTGAAAATCACTAAACACCTAAAATCAGGCAACCCAGCTTTTTCTCATGTTTCGTTTTATTTTTGTGGTACTAGTGATTTGAGTCCAAAAGTGTCTCTACCACTGAGCTACATTTCCAGCCCTATTTTACTTTGACACAGGATCTCATTAAGTTGCTGAGGTCAGCCTCAAAATTTGCCAGCCTCTTCTGAGCCTCCCTACTCTCTTGTTGATATTAAAGACAATAATAAAAGTAATTTCTCACTTGGAGGAAGTGTTCCAATAATCACTCAAGTGAAAACAATCCATGAAGAAAATGGTTACCATCAAGGAAGTCTGCCCTGCTACACTTCACATAAGTGCTCCCAAAAGTTCCAATCCATCTTGTACTACTTTCCACTGTCTTTCCCCCAAACTGAATTCTTTTCCAACATGACATTGGTGACCACACACAACTGCTTCCAGCCTGAGGTCTTGTGACCAAGCCAATCTACATGTTTCTGTCTCTGTCTCTTCTTCTTGTCCCCTAAAAATGGATATTGTTCAAAATGTTGTCCTTGGATATAATACAATAGAAATAAAGTTCAACACCAAATGGAACTTTATTTCTATTCAGGAAACTTCCAATGTCACTAGCAGCCCTACTTCTAACTATCCAATAGTCAGTCATGTGTGAACTTCTCAAAGCAACACTCTACAATTCTACTCTAGGTCTTAATGTGATTTAATTTTACTTTTGTTTGTTCGTTTAAACTCAGGGTGGGTATTGAACTCAGGGGCACTTGACCACTGAGCCACATGCCCAGCCCTATTTTGTATTTTATTAGAGACAGGGTCTCACTGAGTTGCTTAGTACCTTGCCATTGCTAAGGCTGGCATTGAACTCACAATCCTCCTGCCTCAGTCTCTCCCAAGCTGCTGGGATTACAGGTGTGTGCCACCACACCCGGCCTTGTTTGTTTTATAATTCCTCGTCTATCTGGCTAAATAAATATCTCTTTTTTCAGCCAGGAAATGTATCTATAGTATTCTACATCTTCTGCTCCCCCAAGAGAACAGTGCCTTTGCAAACAGTAGGTGATTAACAAACACAAATTAACAAAAATTGAAATGAACTCATTCATAATTGCCTGTTCATGTTATCTCTCATTTTAAGATATAAATATCTGGGGTTGGGGTTGTGACTCAGTGATTGAGTGCTTGCTTGCCTCATGTGTGTGAGGCACTGGGTTTGATTCTCAGCACCACATGTAAATGTAAATAAATTAATAAAATAAAGGTCCATCAACAACTAAAAATACATTTAAAAAAAAAAGATAAAAATCTTGGGTTAGGGTTGTGGCTCAGTGGTAGAACGCTCACCTAGCATGTGTGAGGCCCTAGGTTTGATCCTCAGCACCACATAAAGATAAATAAAGATATTGTGCCCATATACAACTAAAAAAAAATATATTAAAAAAAGATATAAATCTTCTCTTTCAAGATATAAACCTTACTTTTTAATACTATGCAACCATCAGCAAAGAAGCAGATGCATATTATTGAGCTTGCAAAACCTTAAAAGACAACAATAAATAAAAAAGCATAGAATATATGGTATATTGACAATATACATACACATGTACAAAGTATTTGTGTGTCCAAGGAGGATTAAATTACTGAAAGATTCAACTATTATTAGTGGTTACTTCTGGGAGTAGAATTGGGAGGCTTAGGTGGGAAAGAGATAGTTTGCTTACTTTGTCCCTGCAACTAGGGACACAGAGTGAGAAGCAGAAGAGGAGGGCAACAAAGAGGCAGGCAAATCAGATTAAAAATCAGATAAAGGTAGCAATCAGATTTAGAAGGAACTAAGATAGAATCTTGATATTCACCGGTGGAAAAGAGATGTTTCTAGGAGGGAATATCTGTAGTGCCAAATGTTACAGAATCAAAACTTAATTAAACCGTCAGATGTAACCAAAAAAAACCAGTACTTAGTGTCTTTAGGAGTTTAGTTTTCTGTGAAGAGGTGAGAAGAGCCAAACATTAACATGACACCGGAGGACTGATAGTCAAGAATAAAGAGAGTTAGCTCAGTAGCACACACCTGTAATTCCAGCAACCTGGGAAGATGAAGCAAGAGGATATAGCAAGCTCAAAGCCAACCTGGGCAACCTAGCAAAAGTATGTCTCAAAATAAAAATCATTTTTATTTTGGAGGTATAGCTCAGTGGTACCATGGCCCTGAGACCTAAATAAATAAGTAAAAGGAAGAGGAGGAGGGAGCTTGACATGTGTAAGGTCCTGGGTTCAATCCCTAGCACCACAAAAAAATAACATATATAAAATAAAAATAAAGGGGAAAAAAAAAAAGGGTAAAGTCCCCTTTGTTTCATGTTTCCTCTCTTCCTCCCTTAAGGTAAATACTACTGCAGACTTCATACATTTTATGTGCTTCTTCAAATCACTGTTGTTTTTCAAACTTTTCTTCTACCATCTACCTAAAAAAATAACATATTGAATTTTAGACATTATTAAGTCATGGATTTTGGTATGAAATGTTTAATCCAGTTTTCAAATGATCTCACACCTTGGCTCAAACAAAACTAGTGATTAGGTTAGATGATTACTGAGGCTTTTCTTTCCCAGTTACATCACATTATACGAGAGAAGTAACACCAAGTTCTTAAAGAACTGAGGCCCCTCTCCGTCTATGGAGAGATAGCCTTTATTTGTCAGCTCTGACAAATAAACTCTTGTGTGTTAAAAAATAAATAAATAAAATAAAGGGCCGAAAGGTAGTCTGCAGTGCTTGAGAAGAGAAGGTTTTGGTTCTCAAATATCTTCAGTAAAATTAATGTGTTAATTTAATTCAAGATTGTTCTACCAAGAACTGCTGCTCCCATACCCTTGTGCAATAGTGCAAGGCCCTGGGAAGAGAGTTGCTTAGTGCCGGTGAATATTTATGAAGTAACTGCAACTTTTAAGACGAAGTGTGCTTTCTTATCATTGTGTCGACAGTGATGACCTATTAAGTCAAGATTTCCAATTATTGCTTCCTTACTATGTTACTATAAGGTCTTATACTATTTCCTGATTAACCTGTTTTATGCACTGAGGCATATGGCTTATACTTTTTTTTGAGGGGGGGCATATACCTTTATTTTTATTTTTATGTGGTGCTGAGGATCAACCCAGTGCCTTGCACGTGCTAGGCAAGCACTCTACTGCTAAGCCACAACCTCAGCCCCAACTTTTTTTTTATTATTATTTTTAAGTCTTCTACGGTTCAACTTTAAAGGAAGCAATATATAACTCCTTACCCAATTTGCTTGTGCAACTTCATTAGTATTATTAATTAATTTTTAAAATGCTATCAAGATAAATACAATAAAATTCTTAAGTCAACAGAGGGCAGTGGCACAAGCCTATAATCCCAATAGCTTAGGAGGCTGAAGCAAAAGGATCCAAGTTCAAAGCCAGGCTCAGAGACTTAATGAGACCCTGTCACAAAAAAAAAGTGTGGGGGGGGCGCTAGGAATGTGGCTCAGTGATTAAGCACCCCTGGGTTTAATCCCAGGTACCAAAAAAAAAAAAAAGCCTTGGTCATTTCTATAATCTATAAAGTACCATTTCACAAGTAAAAACATTAATAAGGGGCTGGGGTTGTGGCTCGCCGTGTGTGTGAGGCCCTGGGTTCAATCCTCAGCACCACATATAAATAAAGAAATAGGGCTGGGGATGTGGCTCAAGCGGTAGCACGCTCGCCTGGCATGCGTGAGACCCGGGTTCGATCCTCAGCACCACATACAAACAAAGATGTTGTGTCCACCGAAAACTAAAAAATAAATATTAAAAATTCTCTCTCTCTCTCCCTCCCTCCCTCTCTCACTCTATCTTTAAAAAAATAAATAAATAAAAAATAAAAAAATAAAGAAATAAGGAAAAGGAAAAGAAAAAGAAAGAAAGAAAGAGAGAAAGAAAGAAAGAAAGAAAGAAAGTATTGTGTCCAACTACAACTAAAAAATAAATATGAATAAGCTTAAGCTTCAATATTATCTAATTTATTCCACTTCCTTGTTGTCATCAAGCTCTTAAATAAATGGAAAACATATATGGGTGAGAAGAACAAGCCCTGAGGGTTGTTTTGTTCTTAAGAGGGTGTAACACCCATAAAAAACCAATGAAGCTGGGAGTAGTAGCCGCATTCTTTCTAGCTATTCATAGGAGGCTCAGGTAGTAGGATCACAAGTTGGAGGCCAGCCTCAGCAATCAGTGAACCCCTCAACAATTCAACAAGACCCTGTTGCTAAAAAGGAAAAAACAAAAAGGTCTCGGGTGGTACTTAGTGATAAAGCATCCCTGGGTTCAATCCCCAGTACAAAAAAAAAAAAAAAAATTAGAAATTTTACCATGAATGAAAAGAAAAAGACTATCATACAACTATTTTAAAACAAAATATCTACTTAAAATCAGCTAAAGGGAAAAAACAAACAGATTAAATTATAGCCTTAAGCATTTCTGGATAATACTATTAAAAATAATAAAACCAATGAGAACGAACAATTCAAATATCTAAATCATATGATTTTTAAAAACTGACATAGCATTTTCCAAAAGACAGAACAGTAGTATAATTTTTTAAATGAACTCACCCTGAAATAAGTGAAATTACTAGCTGCTGAATAAATGTCACTCAAAAGCAGTCTCTTGGCTTTTTCTTACACAGCGTGCAACTTTCCTTTTAAATTCTCCGTTTCTGTCTTCCCTCCATTCTTTCTGTAGGTACAAAAGTAACATCAAATGATTTTATGTAAACTTTTCCTTGTAATCTCAAATAATCATTTTAACTTTGAATATAATCTTTTGGTAGTTTGAATACTTTAAAAAAGTTTAAAAGGCAGAAAACAGTCAAAAAGAATTTTTGTAAGGTACTTTGTTGGAATATACAAATAGAAACATTTTCTGCTAATTACCCTTACAAGAAAATTTCTCTTTTGAAAAAGAAAAGACCACAAAAAATAATAGCTATGGTTTTATGTTACACTAGAAAGAAAGCTACAATTTACAAAAAAAGACATTCAAGCAATTCGAAGGATTACTAACTTTCCTTACTTGAAAATAACCAGAAAACAAAGTCAACATAAAACTATCTTGTATCTTTAAAGTAGATAGGTGAGATGCATTACACTGAAATGATAGTGAGTACTAGTAGGTAGAAAGTAGGGGTAAACAGATAACTTATCAATCATGAACACATAAGACCACCAACACAGTTCCAATGAGAAAAGAGGTGATTTCATTTAGCATAAAAGTAACAGAAATGTGCTCAAAAATGCTCAGCCTGCTTCTTTTTCTTTGCATATCATCAATTTAGGAACACCAAAGACTATGGAAATCATCAATCCTTGCCTTTAAAAAGGAAGATATTTTAAAAAGAAAAAAGGGGGGAGGGGGGGGTTTCCCCTCAAAGCAAGACACACCAATAAGCAAATACACTGTGCCCCTGGGTTCAATCCCCAGCACCCACCTCCAAAACAAAAAAGGGCATTATTTAGATAAAAGATAATGCTAGGGGATCAATATGGGTATAAATTAAAACAAGTTCAAAAAAAGGAAAGAATATTAAAATTGGATAGTCTCAAAACAATTACACATTTTTCCAAAACATGTCTTTAATTTCAAAAGGTATATACCGACTTCAGAGGTGAAAGATTAAAGAGTTTATACAATTGTACGAAATTTCAGAAGACCCAAGAATAAAGAACCTAAAAGGAAATGGGGGTGGTTGACATCTAACAATGGAGAATCAGCCTATAATCAACTTTCCCGTCAGCAATAATAAAAACTAAAAAATTAATTCTGTCTAAATTTTGTATTTTCTTCCTAGAACTCTAAAAACAAAGTATCAATCAAACTTTAGGGAAGGATAAAGCACCTTGAATCATGAAAGGGCTCTAGATTTAATTCCCACATATCTAAAATGTTAGGATGAAGTCCACAGGAAAAAGGAAAAGAAAAATGTGATCCAGGAAACAGAAGATCTGATCCAGAAGAGCTACAAAGGAAAAATCTAATAGAGGCAGCCAGCATGGGAGGGTGAGAGAATCAATCTAATTTGGATATAGGAATCCAGAAGAGAGCTCTCTAATCCTAACCCTAACTGTAAATATGGATCTATTGTTGCCATTTTGTTCACTGTTCTCTGGTTGTTTTGTGATCCTTTCTTTCTCTTGCCATCTTCTTTGTGATTAAGTGGTTTTCTCTATTGGTATGCTTTGATTCCTTGTTTTTGTCTACTATAGGATTTTGCTTTGTAGTTACCACAAAGCTAAGAATTTTATAACAGATTATCTGAAACTGATAACTTTGATTACATTTTAAAAACTACATTTTTAATCCACACATTCCCACGCTGTATTTAAATTTTTTTAAGTTGTCAATGGACCTTTATTTTATTTACTTATATGTGGTGCTGAGAATAGAACCCAGTGCCTCACACATGCTAGGCAAGCTCTCTACCACTAAGCCACACCCCAGCCCTGAGTCTCTGCTCTTAATATGCCTATTCCACTTAGTATCCAGTTTATTTTTTGTGTGGTGCTGGGGATGGAATCCAAGGCCTTGAACAGCAAGGCAAACACTAACAAATAAGCTATATCCATAGCCCGTGAAATTTTTAATATCACAAATTACATCTTTTTATCATTTTAGCCACAATGATAAAGAATAAGTTTAAAAATCTATTTTATCTTGTGACTAAAGTTAATAATCTTAAAAACTGCTAAAGGCAGGATTTTTTAAGTGTTCGCATCACCAAAAAATGGTATGAGGTAATACATATGTTATTTAGTTCAAAATTGCTATTTCCTGATGTAGATATATATATATATATTTTTAATATTTATTTTTTAGTTATTGGCGGACACAACATCTTTGTTTGTATGTGGTGCTGAGGATCGAACCCGGGCCGCACGCATGCCAGGCGAGCGCGCTACCACTTGAGCCACATTCCCAGCCCCTGATGTAGATATATTTTAAAAGGACATATTACACATAACAAGTTGAGTCTTCTTAAAAGAAATAGTGATGGACTGAGATTGTGGCTCAGCAGTAGAGCGCTCACCTAGCACGGGCAGGACCCAGGCTCGATTCTCAGCACCACATAAAAATAAAGGCATTGTGTTGTGTCCATCTACACCGAAAGAAAAGAAAAGAAAAGAAAAGAAGGAAAGAAAGAGTGACAGGTTGAAGGTACAGTTCAGTAGTAGAAATCTTGCCTAGCACCCTAGGTTCTGTCCCAAAAGAGGCGGGTGGGAAAGATGGAAGAGGGAGGACAGAAGGATGTGAACACCTTACCGCAGCATCGACATTAGCAGGTGAATCTCCATTAGGGTCTGCCAGCATAGAAATGACACTAATCATGATGGTTTCCACAGTGTGGATAGGAAGCCAGCGTTCCTCTGGCTTTTCATAACCATATTTATCCTCCCCAGGCTCATGAAGAATAGAAATGCAAACATCACCATTTTTATCAACTGCGAAATTAGAGAATAAAACTTTGTTTAATATATTACCAATTTGGTATGACATAAAGTATCTATTACAAATATGATCCTGATCTACAATAACACCTGTATAAAACATTACCACTACACAGAAAATTTCCAAAATGGAATCTGCTAACTTTTTAAGAAAGCTGTAGATTTTACCAAACACATAGTATCCAACAAACTCATAGTGTAAGCTATCTTTTTCATTTGTGTAAAGTTTTTAAGATAAACAGCATATAGATGGTGTTTAGCATTGAAATATACTTAATACAATGTAAACGAGTAGATTGCAACTACTAAATCTGTTCCTCCTTTGTAGAAAGCATATGATCTAAAACATGGGAAACTGTTTCTATGGAATGATTTTCTAGTCTTCCCACTAACTTACTGATTTAAATTGGTGATAGTCAAAGATTTAGAATTTTTTTCGAAGAAAATGGAACTAATAGTGATGTACTTTCAAAATCATGTAAAAGCAAAGTTATGTTCAAATGCACAAAAAGGAACATATAACCCATGAAAATCTGTCAATATCATGATATTCATGAGATTTCTTTTCTAAAAATCATTTAAAAATTCAAACCACAAGTAATAATGAGTAAGAATAAGAGAACATTTCTAGGGGACATGTATTGACATAACTATATCTTACTTTCAAATGGTTCAGAGAAAAATCAAATATTAATTAACAAAAAAAAGTTGGAAGCATTAATCCACAAATCCATTTACACAACACAAACGTATTACCTATCTATTGGCCAAAGTAATCTTTAATGGTAAAATTTTCTCTTAAAAAAGGGGTGAGAGGGATAAAAAGCATACTTTAAGGGGTAAATTTTAGAAAAAGATGTTTAATTAAAATTTATTGCTGTAAATTAACCAAATTTCCAAATTCTATAAATAGCGAGTACCATATTTTTATACATTTCACTCCTAACTTCTTCCTTTTGGGGGCAGGGGGTTAGGGGCTGGGGGCTTACTAGAGATTGAATTCAGGGGCATCTAGCCACATCCCCAGCCCTATTTCTATTTTATTTAGAGACAGGGTCTCACTGAGTTGCTTAGTGCCTTGCTATTGCTGAGGCTGGCTTTGAACTCTCAATCCTCCTGTCTCAGCCTCCTGAGCCACTCACTGGGATTACAGGTGTGCGCCACTGCACCTGGTTCCTAGCTGCTTCTTTTTTTTTTTTTTTTTTTTTTTTAGTTTTCGGCGGACACAACATCTTTGTTTGTATGTGGTGCTGAGGATCGAACCCGGGCCGCACGCATGCCAGGCGAGCGCGCTACCGCTTGAGCCACATCCCCAGCCCCCTAGCTGCTTCTTTATAGAACCTAATAAATTGTGAACAGTTAAAATTCTAACTCAGAATTTCCTCTCAGAACACCAGCATGGGCAATGAAAACTCTAAGGACCAGAATCAAAGTATGTATACATACAAATCAATATTATTGCTCTATTAATACTTTTTGAATGCCTACTATGTGCCAGGACCACACCACACCTGACATGGGGTACAGCCTTAGTCTTCAATGTTTCATATAAGTTTTTCTATAATTAAGAGTCCCTTCCCAACCTACCCCCACCTGCTAATGGACTCTATTAACTAAAGGAATAAGTAGATCAAGAAGCAAAAATAACAACAAAAACACTTACAAAGTTCAGCACTAAGATTTTATGAAGTATTATTTTTTAGGATTTTAAAATTTTTATTTATTTTTTGGCACCAGGGATTGAACGCAGGGGTGTTTCTACCACGGAGCTATATCCCTACCCCTACCCAGTTTTATAAATTTTTTATTTTGAGACAGAGTCACACTGAGTTACTTAGGGCTTTTCTAAGTTGCTGAGGCTGGCCTTGACCTTATGATCCTCCAGCCTCAGCCTCCTGAGTCACTAGGATTAAAGGTATTCGGCACCAGGCCCACTAGGATCTTTTAAACATTTTACTTACTTGTGTCATTTTACATTTATTTAGTAAACAAATTCCTACATAATCTGAATAAAGTATTTCAAAATCTACTGTAAAGTCTCAAAAACATAGATAAACAACTCTCAGGAACAACTCTTCTTCTGATAAAAAGATCTCGGTTAGAATTGTTTTCTCCAGGGGCTGGGGATGTGGCTCAAGTGGTAGCGCGCTGGCCTGGCATGCGTGCGGCCCGGGTTCGATCCTCAGCACCACATACAAAACAAAGATGTTGTGTCCGCCCAAAACTAAAAAATAAATATTAAATTCTCTTTCTCTCCTCTTCCCTTCCCTTCCCTTCCTCCCTCTCCCCCTCTCCCTCTCTCTCTTTTAAATAAAAAAAAAAAAAATTTTTTCTCAAGTTTTCTGAAGTGAGGATATTGAGTAATCTTTTGAAACAAGTTTTCTGGGGCTGGGGATGTGGCTCAAGTGGTAGCGCACTCGCCTGGCATGCATGCGGCCCAGGTTTGATCCTCAGCACCACATACAAAACAAAAGATGTTGTGTCCGCTGAAAACTGAAAAATAAATATTAAAAATTCTCTCTCTCTCTCTCTCTCTCTCTTTAAAAAAAAAGAAAGAAAGAAACAAGTTTTCTATGCCATTCTATGATTATTTGTGAGAATTTCTTTATTTCTACTACATCATCTAAGGGTGTTTAATATAAATTTTAAGCAAAAGGCAATTCCTTGTTTCCTTTTCATATCAAGATATGAGGTACAGATAAGGACTTTGCTATATTTTTAAATATTTCAAAGTGTTTTTGCTGTTATCTATTTGCCTTATATCTAATGTCTTTCTACATTTCCTATAGATATCAGGTTTCAAAAGTTGAAGACAGTTTGAAATTTGAGTAAAGACTTGGTCACAGTATTTACATTGTTTAGAGTATCTATGCATTATGAATTCTTCAGTGATAAGCAATGTTTGAGAAATTGCTAAAAGGTCTACAATAGTTTTTCACTCATATTATCCTTCCACATTAAAAATTCTCCAGTGCTGAGTAAGGAATGAACAACTTTAGAGACATTATCGCATTGGGTCTTTGTATAATTTCTCTCTTCTATGATTCCTGTATTGTGCAATAAGGGTTGAACCATTTTTAAAGTCTCTGGCACAATGTTAACATTTGTAGGGCTTCTCTCTAAGTATGAATCTTCTACTGTTCAGTAAAGTGTGGCCTTTGAGTAAAATCTTTTCCACATTCTTCTCATTTGAAGGTGTTATGTCATTTTAAACAGTATAAGAATAAGAAAACCTTTAGGTTGAATTATATTTTTAAAAGATTATATATTTTATGCAGCCATAAGCAATATGAAGTGACCATTATCACTGCCTCCTCACTCAGGATTAACAGTTTTATTGAAATTTCATAACATCTAATAAATAATTAGCTTTTCCAAATTTTTTTTCCATGACAACTTTCCACATAAACAGACATTTTGAAAAATGTCTGTTCTTATCCTTTAGCCAGTTATGTGGTTAAGTGTTTAGATTTACCTTTACAAAATGCTTCCCAATTTACCCCTAAATAATTTGTGTTCTTTCCCCTGGTACTAGGGGTTGAACCCAGGGCCTTGTACCTGCTAGAGGGAAGCACTCTACTCTACCATTGAGCTACATCCATTTTTGAAAATTTTTTATTTTTATTGTGAGACAGGGTTTCACTAAAATTACCCAGGCTGGCCTCAAACTTGCAATCCTCCTACCTTACCTTCCCAATGACCTGGAATTATAGCATGTATCACCACGCCTAACTCCCGTGTATAATTTTTAATGTACTTTAGTACATTAGTACTTTCAATGTACTTTAGAGCTATTCTTCATTTCTGATAGAAGATTCAGTGAAGAATTCTATATTCAGGGAACTATCATTTCCTTTTAGTCTCTCTCTCCCTGTCTCTCTCAGTATTTTCAATGTTTATTTTTGAAGCTAGAGAGTTCTTGTTCCCAACATATACCAAATAGATGATAATGACTGGGCACAGTGGCGCACTCCTGTAATCCCAACAAATTTGAGGTCAGCCTTGGCAATTTAGTGAAACTCTGCCTCAAAAAATAAAAAGTGCTAGGGAATGGCTCAGTAATAGAGTGCCCCTAGGTTCAATCACCAGTACAATAAATCATAACTTTAAAAAACAAAATCACTTGTGACTTTTTATTCCATTTATCTTCAATTCACTTTGCTATTTGGTTTTGAAAATTAAAATTGTTTCTCCATAAATAGCTAGCCATTAGTCTTTCATCAATAATTGAAAAACACTTCTCTTCCAGCGTAAAACTAAAATCTCTGAACAATGCATTCTAGTTATATATCCTTTCTTGAGAATACGGATCCAAAACTACGAAAAACTGACACTGAAATGAATCTGACGTAATTTTCCCATGTACATGTGAAAACAACACAGTGAATATCCCACCATCATGTACATCCATAAGAATGGAATCCTAACTAGAATAAGATATATTCCATGTTCATGTAATTATATCAGAATGAATTAAAAAGAACCAAAACACACAAAATTTAAAAAACTGGCTTGCCCTCATCTTCTCCACTTACTCACTACTTACACCTTATGAAAACTGGCTTCTGCTGCCTATCGGGATACTAACGTTATTTTCAAAAAAAATGGTCTGGATAACATATAAGAACTTCAATCTAAGTCAACCCTTCTGGCCCAACACAAATGATACTTGACAGCATCTTCCTGGATATATTTTCCTCCCTTGGCTTCCATGTCAATTCCTTCCTCTTGATTCTTCAACTCCACTTTCTCTCAGCTTCTCCTTTCCTCCCCCCACCCTTTTTTTTTTGGTACCTGAGACTGAACCCAGAGGGGCTTTAGCACTGAGCCACATTGCCAGCCCCTTTTAATATTTTTTATTTAGAGACAAGGTTTGGGCCTTGCTAAATTGGCTAGGCTGGCTTTGAACTCATGATCCTCCTACCTGAGCCTCCTGAGCCACTGGGTTTACAGGCATGTGCCACCACAACCAGCCCTAGTTTTCCCCTTCTTTAACCTGACTTTTGACGTTATCCTAATCTCTAACATTTAATAACTGTTTCTCTGGGTAAATTAATTCATTCAGTAGATCATACTGTTATCTGTCATCCTGAGGCAATAACTTCTAAGGCCCTAGATTCACTATTGAACCAGAGTTTTATCTAATTATCTATCTGAACATATCAGTGTATCTCAAGGGGGAGGGGGACAAAATTGAATGCATCTAAGCCACTCAAAAGTATTATTTACCCTATAATAATTTTGTAATACCTTTACTGAGATATAATTCACCTACCATACAATTCACCTGTTCCAAACATACAATATAATGGTTTCTACCTACTGTATTTACAATTGTACAACCACCACCAGGATCAATTTTAGAATATTTTCATCATCCCAAAAGACATCCCATACCCAACTGGTAATAACTCCTTATTTCCACCCAAACACCCCTCCAGCTCTAGGCAACTACTGATCTATTTTGGCCCTACAGATTCCAATTATTACATATAAATGGAATCACTGTGTTATTTTTAAAAACTGGCTTTGTTCATTTAACATCATGTTTACAAGGTTTATCCATGTTGTCACTTGTATTAGTACTTTATTTCTTTTTTATTTGACAAGTGATAATCTATTACACAGATATAATGCCACATTTTATTTTTCCATTCATCAATTGACAGGCATTTGGGTTGTTTCTACTTTGGGGTTAATAAATTTTGCTAAGAACACTCTTGTATGAGATTTGGGAGGCATATGTTTTTAATTTTCTTAGCTATCTACCTAGGAGTAGAATAGAATTGCTAGATCATAATGATAACTATGCTTAACCTTCTAAGGATCTGCTAACTATTTTCCAAATATCTGCACCACTTTACATTCTTCTCAGTATTATATGAGTTATAATTTCTCTGCTTCATTATTAATACGTATTATTACTATTTTTACTACAGCCATCCTTATGGGCAAAAATGGTTATCTCATTACTTTCTGAAATGGCTAATCAATCCTAAATTCTTATGTCTTTATTTCCACTCATATCTGGTAATCAACAAGTGAAAAGAACTAAATCATCCTTTTTGATACTATTCTTGGTTCAAGCTTTTACTGTTTCTTACTCTGATACTGATATGTCTGTCTGGCTTCTTTTTCCAATCTTCTACTAGTCTAAGCTTTCTGGAAGGAAAATATAATCATGATGAACCCATGGAACAACTTTAAACTCATCAATTTAATGAAACTCTACAGCCTGCAGAATAATGTTCAAGTCAGGCATATTCAACATTCAAAATTCCATTCAAGAACATATCTAGAATCCTTAACTCCCTCCTTTTCAGCTTCCAGAAAAAAATGGATACCTATATCACTATCACCTCACAGCGTCACCATTCTGCTTAATGCGCTCCTCTTCCTCAGAGACCACGAGATCTTATGGGAAGTATAGCTGAGAAAACATCGCTGTACTCCCAGTGCTTTCCAGATACTCACATTCTTTAACTATCTTGCTTGCCCCAGTATTTCTCTTTTCCATTTCAGAATTACTTTTCACTCCGTCCTATAGCTAATTCTTTCTGTAGCTGCCATCCCTACCCCATCACTTCCTCAGGTATCCTTTCTTCACTAATTATCCTTTCTCCAATAAAATTTTGATTATTTCCTTCTCTAAAGCCTGTCTCTACAAAATGAAAAGTCTCCTTTAAAAATTTAAAAAAAAAAACAAAAAACATCAATTTTCCTCCCAAACTTGTGATGCTATCCTCCCTCCTGACAGGAAGGAAGTTTCATTATTTTGCTTACATATATGCACTTATTTAATTTTTGCAGAGAAAGTAAGATTCATAGAGGCTTTGCCTAGAGTCACACAGCTAATTTGTAGTGAAACAAAATTGAGAAACTTTGTTGGACCTTCTTTCAAAGCAAGCCCAAGAAGAATGCCTATTACATATATCAAGTAATCCAAGTGAAAGCAGAAGAAATTGCACTGCCCAAAGTCCAGAAAAAGATCAAAGAAATGTCACGAAGTACATCACCAAATCAAGTATCCAGGAATCAGGCAGGACTATCATTAATGCCTTCTGTCATTATTAACTAGAGATATTACTTTTATCTTCTTCTTCTATTTTTTTTTGGTGCTGGGGATTGAACCCAGGGCCTTGTACTTGCAAGACAAGCACTCTACCAACTGAGCTATACCCTTAGCCCCAAGATACTACTTTTATGACCCTGCTGTCTTAATAATGTAATGAAATGTAATAGTTCCAGTTCTCTATTTGACTGTTCCAGTCTCTCATCATACATATATATATGTGTGTGTATGTGTGTATATATATATTTTTTTTTTAAAGCCTTGATACCCCATTTGCTTAGGATAAATCCTTATTTAATCTGTTCATTCATTCCATCATTCCTCTCACTGACTCTTGCTTAATTTAATGTATGTATTTCTATTCCTTGCAACCAACAGAGTCTTCAGAATAAGATGCAGAACACAAATTAGTATAATAGTCTAAAAAGAAAACTAGTAAAAAAACAGAAAAGAAACCCTTGCAAGCTCTATCACACAAACCAAAGCCAAAAATTCAGGGAGCCTGTGTATATAAAAGAAGCTTATCTGGCCTAACCTTTGGTCACAACATAGATTTTACAGGGCAGCCAATCTTTGGATTAAACAGGTCAATGTCATCACTCCATGCACGGCAGTATTGAATGCTTTCAAAGCTATGTATTTCCCTTGTCTATGAATCACCTATGTGGCAGGTGGGAAAGTCCTTAGTAACAGCTAAGAACATAGATAAAAGTTATGAGTAGCCCATGTTCTAAAACTGAGTTAACGAAATATATACTAGAAACCTATGTTTCATGATTTCTTTTTATTTTTTTAATCCTTTTTTTTTTTTTTTGAGAGAGAGAGAGAGAGAATTTTTTTAATATTATTTTTTAGTTCTCTTTGCTGGTATGTGGTGCTGAGGATCGAACCCGGGCCGCACGCATGCCAGGCGAGCGCGCCACCGCCTGAGCCACATCCCCAGCCCCTGTTTCATGATTTCTATGCTCTTTGTAATTAATACTATTCAGAAACTGCCGGGGCTGGGGATGTGGCTCAAGTGGTAGAGCGCTCGCCTGGCGTGCGTGCGGCCCGGGTTCGATCCTCAGCACCACATACAAACAAAGATGTTGTGTCCGCCTAAAACTAAAATAAATAAATAAATAAATAAATAAATATTTTAAAAATCTCTCTTCTCTCTCTCTTCTCTCTAAAAAAAAAAAAAGAAACTGCCTGTAATTTGGAACACTGAGTCTCAAAAAGAGGAGAAATCTAAGTAAATAAATAAAAAATAATATTTTCCATGTGATCTATTAGTTCTTCTATCTTAAAAAAGCTACTACAAGGCCATGTGCACAATGAACACAATGAACTTAAAAAGTAAATTCCAAAGCAATTTCACCAAGAACTATCATCTCTGTTATTGACCTTGAAATCTTTATATTTCAAGTAAAAACAAAACCAGATAAACTTACCATTTGGGTGCCAGATTTCTGTAATGAATTTCATTTTAGGAGGCCGGAGGGGATAATCTTTTGGGAAAGTGAGATGAGCCTTAAAAACACCACCTTCACTGAAAAAAAAAACAAAAACAAGTTCTTGCCTATAAGTTCCTGCTTATAAGTATACAATCATTAAAACAAATATAAAACAAGAGTGTAGGCACTAAAAGTAAACATAGTGAATAATTCAAGGGTTCAAAAGTAAACATAGTGAATAATTTGGATTCCCTACAGATAGTTTATTAAACTGGGTGTTTGAGGTAACTATCATACCTATAACTTTATATTAAACTCTCAAGAGAGCTAGTAAAAGGAAAAAGAAATGGTTTGGTAAAAGAGGCATCCAGATCAGATCATCAGTAGCTATGCTATGATCTTTCCATCATTTCCCAATGCACTTATAACAAAATTCAGAAAGTTTAACACTGTTTATAGGGCTCGAGTTGCCAATTTATCTACATTGATCTCAAACTATTGCTCTTTTTTCTGTTCTAGCCAGTCTTCTTTCAGTTCCTCAAACACACAAGTTCCTTGTCATCTCAAAGCTTATATGCATTTGTTGTTCCTTGTCTGGGAACCAATGTGTTATGTGTCGAATATTGGGAGTACAGCAGTGAACAGAATACAGTCTCTGAAGGAATTTGTAGTCTACTGACTTTCCAGAACCGTGCTCATGAAAAGAACTTTCTGCAAAATTAAAGATGTTCTATACCTCTGTTTGTTCAATATAGAGTCACTAGCCACAAGTGGCTATTGGCTACCATACTAGACAGCCCAGTTATAAATCAATGCCATTTAACTGGGAATCATTTTTGAAGAAACGTCAATAAAACAATAAAATGATGTATATAATACCAACTAAAACCCAAAAGATCAAGTCGGCCTTAAAGGGCAAAAATGACCAAATTCCTGCCTTGGAACCCAGATGCTAGATATTTCCTCTGCTTGAAATACCCTTTTCATTTTTCTTCTGATCATCATTCACTCAGCTTTAACTGTTACCTAGACAAAAGATTTTCCCAATCTAGTCACTAGGTCCCCTCTATCACACTGACTTCTTTTAATTTACTGCAATAGCAGTTCGCACATCTGATTCTCTTATTATTCAGTGTGTACACTCCATTAGAGCAGAGTCGTGATTATTTCAGATCAATGAGAAATGGAATTCTTAGATCATAAAATAGTTTTGATTCATGAACAAATATACATTATATATTTAAACTAGATAAAATTCATTATCTAGTTATGCTAAGCATTGTTCTAAATAATTTTTTTTAAAAAGAACAAAGCATTAGCAATCATTGTGAAGCTTACCATTCTAGAATTAGAAACAAAATATCTAGCAAAAAAAAGAATACCAGTAATAAGTACTATTTTAAAAAGCAAATATTTATAGAATAAGCCCATTTGTTTTTTAAACAAAAATGTGGACACATTTGTACACAAATAGAAATATGTCTGGGAGTATATCATCAGTACATTATAATGGTTAACTCTATATGATACGGGATCATTTTACTTTCTGATATACACATTTCAATATAGCTTGAATTTTAAAGTACAAGCAAGTATTAACTTTTCTGTTCAAGAAAGCAAGATGCAGGTTCAGATTAAGTTTTTTGTTTGTGGTACCCAGCATGAACCCACAAAGCTACATCCCCAACCCTTTTTATTTTCAATTTTGAGACGGGGTCTGGCTAAGTTGCTTTGGCTGCCCTTACAGGGGTGCATCACTGCAATGGAACTAAGTTCTAAAAAGATAAGTAGATCACTATTATCAAATACTTGTGTGGGCTGAGGATATAGCTCAGTGGTAGAGTGTTTGCCTTGCATGCACAAGGCCCTGGATTCCATCCCCAGCACCACCCAAAATTTATATATATATATATATATATATATATATATATATATATATACACACACACACACACACTTGTGAATACTTAGGAATGGCAACTTGATTCAAAAATATATAAATTCAGTGACCTTGAAAATCAATTTTGATAAAAGCAACAGAAAAGATCACAAAGCATTAAGGAAAGAATGGGATGGTATAGTACAAAGCATGATGAATGGGACAAATTGTACAAGAAATTTAAGAAAGAAGATGAAGAAAAAGTACAAAGTACTTTCAAAGGGGGAAGACTAATTTGTTTCCAAGAAGATATGAATGTGTTGGCTAGAGATATTAGAAAAAGAACAATGAGAAATTAGCTATAAGTAAAAAGGAAACAAAGGTAGTAGAGTGCCTAACCATGAAAAAGAAAGAACATCTTTTCCTTTCCCACAGGAAGAAAAACAGATTGAATATAGAACAGATATCCAGGAGTAAAAAGGATAATTATAGACGAAACATCAATATACTCATTTTTTTTTCAAACCCACAAAGATACAACCGTGGTAAACAAAATTAAAAGTATCAAAAGAATGACAAATTCTATGCCTGCCTAGGGCCTTACTCTTGGATAATTTACCAGGTTATCACCTGAAAGGAAAAAAACATGAAGCCTTGAGGGGAACAGAGTCTGAAACAGCTGCTGTGGAATGTACATTACATTGACGAAAGAGAAGTACTATCTCAGCTACCCCAACCTGCATTAATAAGTGCCAAACTGGTCTTAGGACATATTAATTACATGGACTAGTCTTCCAAATAGGCTGCAAAAGCAATTCAGTGAGTCACTTATCAAGTTCTTTTGTTAACAGAAATAGAACAGAAAACATGTATTTTTATAAAATCTATGTATTTCTACTCACTAACCTATATAAACATATATCACTGGATCATGATAGAAAATATTGTCTGATCATGGTTTAAAAAACAAGGTTGAAAAGCCACAAATACAGATACACACACACACACACACACACACACCCATGCACTTCATTTTACTAGTGAGGATATTCTGATATTCCTTGAGAAATATTAAGTTGGTTTTCCCAGATCACTTTAATTTTGATTGATTAGATGCCATCAAAAGGCTCCATAATGGCCTAATGGAATCCTCATTATGAAAAACTGCCTCAGGCTAGGCATGGTGGCCCAAACCCAGCATGAGGATTCCAAATTCAAGGCCTTAAAGACACTATCTCAAAAAAATGAACAGGGCTGGGGTTTATCTTAGTGGTGGAGTGCCCCTAGGTTCAATCCTCAGTAATACCCCAAACAAAACAAAACAACAACAAACAAAAACATTGCCTTAATGCCTCTAAATTATAAATTATTTTCAAACTTTAAAATGTCAATGAAATTTACTTAGTAAGACTGCCCTAAAGATTTAAACCACATAATTTTTCCTTCTTCTAAAACACTGAGAAACAACTATGCTAGTTCTCATAATTTTTCTTCTCTCTGTGGACCCATCACCTTCTATTTTATTTGGGGAAATTCTACCTTCATTCATTCATTGCCTTGCTTGGTAGTACCCAATTTCTGGATACAAACTTCTACTCAATAGTCAAGTGAGCAGAGAGGAATCCTAAACCCACAGGGTAATTACAGACTAAACATCAATATATTCATTTTTTCAAGCCCTCAAAGATACAACTGTGGTAAATAAAATTAAAAGTTATTAAAAGTATCAATAACCAGACAAGGTGGCACATGCCTGTAATCCCAGCGACTCAGGTGGCTGGAGCAGGAGGATCCTGAGTTCAAACCCAGCCTCAGCAACTTAGCGAGGCCCTGAGCAATTCAGGGAGTCCCTGTCCCTAATAAAAAAGAAAAAAAAATTTAAAGGGCGGGGTGTGTTGAGAGCCACAGCCAAAGGGGCCCCAGCAAACTTCCAGCTGCCAGCTGATGATTGGCTCACAGCGGCCCCAGCAACATCTAGCTGATTGGCTCCTCGGCCCCAGCAACATCTAGCTGATTGGCTCCTCTGCGGTGATGCTCATTGGGCTGTTTCCCTGCCCTTTCAGACCACGGAGCTGCTCATTGGGGGACTTTTTTGGCTCCGCCCACGTGACCCAGCCAATCGGCCTCAAGAGCAGGCGGATTGTGGGAGGTGGAGAGAAGCTTGTGTGGGAGAGAGAGGCTTGTGGAAAGCAGGTGGTGGCAGTTGAGGCTCTGAGGGTTTTTCCTGAGAGGCTGTTTTGTTTGGTGTGTGTGGTTCTAAAAATAAAGTTAGTTTCTTTTGACAAGTGGCTCCTGATTGTGCCCAGCCAGACTGCAGCAGGGGATGCCAAGGGATGTGGTTCAGTGGTTAAGTGCCCCTGGACTTAATCCCTCATACCAAAAATAAAGTATCAATGAATTCAAAATATCTTTACTTCTGTTACATAATTAAAGACTTTTTCCATCACAGATTCTAATAACATAATTACTAATATGGGTCAAAAAGAGGTACGCAACCAACTGTTCCACAGTTTTTAAAAAGTTTGAGAAACATAGGCCAAGTTAAACATAGGCCAAGTTTTGCCTGGAGGTTTTTCCTTACTGTTACTGTATTAAATTATAAAAACCCTACAAGAATTATACTGTATCGTTATATCATACTTATTTTTTAATAATATGCTGTATGCTGCCTTCTGAAATTTTGCTCAATATTGTTCTTTCAATCTATGTCTCTATTAGTATCTGCCTTTTGTTCATTCATTTTACCTGACACATTCCACAATTTCTCCACTATTCTGATATTTGACTGCTTCTTCTCCCCCTGCTTCTGTTATAATGCAATGTAACGCATTCTAAGCTTTTTTTTTCAATTTATGTTTTTTAATCTAGACATTAAGATACCAGGTAAGGTCAAGTTTATATAATTATGCAAACTAACACAACCAATAAAAATGATAGAGTAAGGGAGTTATACCAAGGCAGTCTCCAAAGCCCATATTCTTAAGCCCATATTATCATGTTCAAAGCACATGATAAATGACATGACATTGCCATTGATCACTCAGTTTCTAAGCGATGCAGACACTAGATTCATTCCCTACAGAATTTGATTATAGAATATATGATTTCTGCCTTCAAGTCTCTAATAAGACTGTAAAAAGAATTTTGTAAATATAACAGAATTTTGCAATTGTAAAAAAGTTTTAATAAGGCCTCTATCATTAACTACATGTTTTCTATATTCAACCAAGGTTGGGGAAAATTATAAAACACATATAATCTTAAAGACTCCAACAAAATTTTTTATACCATGGCCATGGTAAGAAATTAAAAAAAAAAAAAAACATACTCCTTAAATAGACCGACCAATGGTGATGAAAGAAAAAAAGAGTTAAATATAAAAGAGGGTATTCATTATTTACAACAAATTTATAATTATTTAGGGATATTTGCATCTGTCTTTTTTCTTTTAGTGATATCTGGGTCTCTTTTTTCTGTAAAAACCACTGCCACTTCTATCTGAAAATTTTATTTCTGTGGATAGAAGTGGCTATTCATACTACTTGATAATTAGTCTGAAAATAGGAGGTATCCCACACCATTTCCAGAATGTATACTTCACAGAAAGCTCAAAAATCTATTCTTGGATGGGGGGATATAGCTTAGTGATAAAGTGCTTGCATGGACAGGGCCCTAGGTTCAATCCCTGAATGACAAAAAAAAAAAAAAAGAAAGAAAGAAAAAAAGGAGGGAAAGGTGGAGAAAAAGAAATGCATTCTTAACAGTGCTAGAAAGATTCAATAATAAAAATTTAATGAAATATAACCTGAAGATGAGTATAATGACCACATTCATGTTCATGTTAACTACCAGCCTCAAAGTAACACTTGATGTGCTAGCCGATTACATGGACTGTAAAGAATGTGGGTTGCCCTCTAGCTACTAAATGAAGGCTAATAATGCCATCACAAAATTTCACACCAGCTTTTATAAAAATTTTGGTATACTTGTTTATTTTCTATAATCTAATTGTTAAATGGCGAGCTAATCATTTAGGTCTGGATAACACCTAAGCCTAAGCTAACTTATTTTCAACCCCTCTAACCCCTACTAAAACAACAGTAAGAACAACACTTAACTTCCTTACAGTTCAGTGAACACTTTTTAAGGACTCTATGAAGTACTAAATTCTTGATAGAATTTTAAAATGCCTATTTCTTCTCCTCATTTTCCTTGTATCTTCGTGGCTACTTTCCTACAGCCTTTCAATGGAACTAAGCCAATTTCTCTCTTCCCCGAACAAAGGACTAAGAATCTCACAAAAACAATGTGTGATTATAAGAAGCCACCAGTGTCTCATTATTAAGTACACACTCCAGTGGAGCTACCACAAATGCTTCTGCCATTCAAAACTCAAATCAACAGCCAATACTTTAATAAATGTTCGGTGAAGGCTAGAAATGGGTTTTATTAGTGAATGGCTTATTAAGTAGAATGCTTATTAGAAAGTTGTTCTCTTAGATTAAGCTGGAGGTATACAATGCATATATGGACCACCTAATAATATGTGCAATAAGTTCATGATGCACATGTGTGCATGCGCGCATGTGTATGAAAAATAAATGCAATGAGCTCGTGGAGTTAAGGCTTGAGCCAGGATTCCTACCCAGTACTCTATACAGATATCAGTTTAAGAGAATTTCTCTCATTATCTTGTACCTACTATAAGGTATCTTGTACCATCACTATAATGTTGCTATGTCTTCCCTAAAGGAAAAAAAAAAAAACAGCAGAAAGTACTTGAATTCACAGACATGGTTTTGTGCACAGAATTTGTTAAGAATCTGCTCTCTTGGGCTGGGGATGTGGCTCAAGCGGTAGCGCGCTCGCCTGGCATGCGTGCAGCCCAGGTTTGATCCTCAGCACCACATACAAACAAAGATGTTGTGTCTGCCGAAAAAACTAAAAAATAAATATTAAAATTCTCTCTCTTAAAAAAAAAAAAAAAGAATCTGCTCTCAGGGCTGTGGTTGTGGCTCAGTGGTAGAACACTCGCCTAGCATACACAAGGCACTGGGTTCGATCCTCAGCACCACATAAAAATAATAAAGATATTGTGCCCACCTATAACTAAAAAATTAAGAGAGAGAGAGAGAGAGAGAGAGAGAGAGAGAGAATCTGCTCTCAAGTTACAAGATTTAGAGACAATACCTGTAAGATGGTTTTTAATGGCTACTTTTTCCTACCCCAAAACTCCAATGCTGTGGATTGGCCACATTCAGTTATCTGAATGTAGAATATATCACAAGGAAATATATCAGCAAAAATTCTGATTGGCAACAGTTATAACAAAACAAATTGTTTTTTTTTCAGATTATAGAAAAGATGAACATCTACACTATGATTCAATTCTGTTGTGTCTCAGCTCTGCTATAGAAGTAGCTCTGAAAATTCTTTCCTACAAGCTGTTAGGGAAGAGTGGGGGGCTACCATCTTAGAAAACCTAAAAATGGGGCTGGAGTTGTAGCTCAGTGGCAGAGCGCTTGCCTAGCATGTATGAGGCCCTGGGTTCTATCCCCAGCACCACATAAAAGAAAATAAATAAAAATAAAAGTATTGTGTTTATCTACAACTAATACATATAAAAGTACTGTGTTTATCTACAATTAATACATATATACATTATGTATATATATATATATATATATATTTTTTTACAAAGAAAACCTAAAAATGATGATTTGACCACCCCCCCCCAAAAAAAAAAAAAAAGATTCAATGAGTCCAAATCCTTGCCTACTTAGTACCATTGAGGACCAAAGTTGAGTGAGAAAGTGTGGTCCTTAAAATTCAGATCTAGAGCTGTCCCTGTAACTCAGCTGTATGATTTGAGGAAAATCATCTGATTTTTCCACCCAATACCTCAACTTCTATAAAAAACATGAAAGTATAAGTCACCAACATCAAGAAGTAATGATGTCTTATAGAATAAAAAAATGCTAGTAAAGTTAGTCTACAAATACCCAGAGCAGAATATAAGACTGTAGTAGAAAGGTATTACATGAAATACATGAGAAATTCTTTTTTTCTATTATTCCTTGATACCACTATATTCCACTATCTACCTTTTTAAATCAATGGCTCAACAACTGGCAATCAGTTAATATTTTTATACCCTAATAATAACTTTTATAAACAAGAGAAAAATGGACATTATTTCACTTTAGGGTCAGAAAACCTTTTCTATACTTAGTATTCTGGGGGACCCAATTAGAGAATCACTAGAATATAAATGATCTTGAAAGTTTACTCCAGCCTTCATAAGATGCTGATATGTTCACAATATACGAAATTTTTTCACAAAAATATAATCCTATGACTTGATATTATAGTGTTAAGAATGATGAGACCTTGGAGCTTCTTCTTTTTTGGTACCAGGGATTGAACTCAGGGGCACTTGACCACTGAGCCACATCCCCAACCCTATTTTGTATTTTATTTAGAGACAGGGTCTCACTGAGTTCCTTAACACCTCGCTTTTTGCTGAGGCTGGCTTTGAACTCATGTTTATTAAAATTATTATTTTCCATTTTGGGATCAAGGCGCAATAAGTACAAGAAAAGGAAGAAGAAGACATGTTTTAATAGAAAATTTTCTTCCTTCCTGGTCCTTTTAAAATTAAACCTCTCAATTTCTAAGATGTTAAGTAAAAAAACTTTTTTGTATGGGGCTGGAGTTGTGGCTCAGTGGTAGAGTGCTCACCTAGCATGTGTGAGGCACTGGGTTCAATCCTCAGTACCACATAAATGTAAAATAAAGATATTGTGTCTACCTAAAACTTAATAGAACTAATATTTTTAAAAAAAATACTTTTTTCTCCCCCCCACCCCCTTGTGCTCAGTCACCCTGTTCTTGAGGTCTCTTTTCTTAAACCATGCTTCTCAACTTATTTTGGGGGGAAATACCTTGAGCAGAGTACAATGGGAAAAGAATCTCTACACCCTTCTGTTCTAAATTCATTTTTATCCCTTCCTGTCTCAAAACAAAAAACAAAAAAACTGTATGGAATCAACACCACCGTGCTCTGTGGGAAAAAAGAAAAACCTTCTGCTCCCTTCACTCTGCTGGAAGTTGGAGGGTGCTAGGCCCCTGTGTAGTAGTGCATAGAATTCTAGCTTTTTTCCTCCTTTCTCTGTATATTGAGCTCAGAGATTACACTGTGTCTCTATGTGAATATGGACAGTTAGCATTTACCAACATGTATCTGTCTACTTTTTCCTGTTTTAAAAAAAAAAAAAAAAAAACTTTTAAAAATGGGGTTATAGAAGGTCAGCAAAGGGTGGGTTTGAGATGTTTGGGTGGGTTAAGTGGGCATTTTGACAACATGGCTTCTCCTTTGGCATGTTTAATTGTGATGTTTAAAGGACATCCTTGCAGTTTCAGATGACATTTTTAAAATAAAATTCTCTCCTAATGATGAAAAATACTTTTTTGTATAACCTCACAGTAAGATAGCTATTTTGTAATTTATTTGTTCCAGGTATCAAGAGTATCTGAATTTCTGAAAGTATTATCTATTTTTATGAGCAAAGGTCGTAGACCTTGGAGTTTCAAAAAGAACACAAAACCCAAATATAAACAAATAAATAGACCTTTATCCTTTATTTAAAAAAAAAAAAAAGAAAACAAAAACCTGAGACGTAATCAAATTCAGTACAAACCTGCTCCCTAAAAAGCAATTTCACTTTGGCCTGCTAAAATAACTTTTAATTTCATTTAATTAAAAGAACAATTTTGAAAATGTCAGTTCCATTATACTTACTAAAGTGTGTCTGGAGGACCAATAATAAGGACTTCCCATCGATAGAGATCATTGTCATCTATTAAACCTGCTGAAAAGCCTTCCACTGGATTTTTGTTGAGTTCTGTGGAAAAAGAAAATTTTGATCAAAACTTTCAAGCACATAATTTCCATCCAATTTATAAACTGTAGGACTTGAGAATGCATGCCTTAAGTTCTAAACCCTCAAATGGATACACCTCGCCAGGCAAAATGGTACCTGACAAACAAATGTTCCATTTCCATACTACAAGATAATAGCAACTATTCATCAGATCAACTTCTATTGCCTTCTTACTTCTCCCCTTCTTACTTTTGTCCAGTCAAACTCTTACCATTCTAGGTATTCCTATAGCCATCTTTAAAAGAGACTGGTACAAAGAAGATATCCAGACCCATTTTCAGCTCAGAGAGAACTAGCCATTAAATCAGAAATGGTAATTCTGATGCTGAGGTCTTTAGGGCACATTTTCAGAAACATTGACAGAGTACCAAATAATACTTTTTTCATTGGAATTTTCAGAGTTTAACCAACTCTTATTTCTATTAATATGTGTATATCTATTTGACATGTCCCCTGTAGTCTAGGGACACACATCTCTTAAGTGGTGATCTCCCAAGTAGCCCACCATAACTAGCACCAAGAGAGCAGAGGCTCCATCTTTCCTGCTTGTGTGTGCTGAATGCTCTGCTAGCCACAGCTTCTAGCACACAGGAATAGCTTCAGAATAACAGCTATTGTCTATCAGAATGGATGTGGCATGGTGAAGTTTTTACTCTTATAAGGAGAGTACCCTGGCACAAAGAAAGAATGATAAGGGTGGGGGACAAGAAAAGAGACAAGGAATTCAAGGGGTAGGGGAACACAGGCCAAGAGAAAACCTTAGCAGGAAGGGATACACAGTCTAAAACAATTTTAGGAGACACAGGGCTTAATAATATAGTGACCTACTGAGAGTGGACAAGTCACAATCAGCATCCTTCTTAAAAGCTTTAATGAGGTATAAATGACATTTTGTGAACTGCACACATACCCAATTTGGTTAAGTATTGATGTTTGTATACACTATTGAAGTCATCGCCCAATCATGATAGTAAACGTATATGTCAATTACAAACAACACTATGAACTGTTTTTTTTCCTGCAAAAAAAAAAGGGGGGGGGGAATTGAGGACAAGGAAAGTAGTTCAGAAAGGACTTGCTGGAAATCTAAGTAAGAGTGTGATTCTCGTGTAACACCTGCCATCATCCTCAAGACATTCCATCTAATCATGGAAGCAAGTGTAACACAATCCACAGTGCTATAAAAGACTGAACAAAGTGTGCTGGTAACTGAGAAGGAGGTATTAATTCTTTGAGGATTCAGGGATAGTGTTATTTCAACAACTAGGACTTAACACCCAAGAGGTCAATGAAACATGGAGAGAGTAAAAAGTAAAAGTTTATATATAAACATGAAGAGCTTCTTTTCTCAAAATTTTATAAGTCTATTATTTTTGCCTGGTAGGCAAAGTGGACTTTTATAAACAGCTAAAACTACAAGAAATGCATTTTTACTTTTAAATAGACATCTAAGTTTTTATTAAAAGATACAGAAAATGCAAAGACATTAAGATAGGATTTGTGGCTGTTTATGCAAGCATATCTTTACTGAGTGCCAACTATATTGCAGACATAGGAGAAAAGAAAAGAAAGTCCCATTTTTTACTGTCGACTGAAGGATACAGTGAAATGCTCAGACAAACGTAATATGGGCAGTCACTTTCTACATGAGTTCTCTCATTTCTAACCACTTTCCAGACAAACATTATTATATAATCAGCCCTCTATATTTGCAGGCTCCATATCCACAGATTCAACCAACCACAGATTTAAAACAAATTTTTAAAGGACGGGGAATGGTATTGGGAACATTTCTGGGTGGTAGAGCATTTGCCTCCTATGCATCAGACCCTGGGTTGGATCCCCACAAAAGAGTCGCATCTGTGCTGAGCATAAACTTTTTTCTTGTTATTATTCCCTAAACAATATAGTATAACAACAATTTACATAGCATTTATATCATATTAGGTCTTATAAGTAATCTAGAGATGTTTAAAAGTAGTACATGTGAGGTTATCGGCAAATGGTATGCTATTTTACACAAGGGATTTGAATATTTAGATTTTGGTATCTGAGGGAATGATGTCCTGGAATCAATCCTCCATAGATACTGAGGGACAATTGTATTACTCAGATCTTCTTCTCCAATCATGATTTTATAACTTATCCAGAAATCACCTAGTTTGTTGCAGTTTCCAACAGAAGTCCAGTGAAGTTTTATAAAAGTAGGTAGGTAGCAAGCTCTGAAATTAACACATGAGGTCAAAATTACCCTTGAAAATGTCCTTACACTTTCCATAAAGCATATCATTGTTTATATTACTTTTGTCAATACACCCTAATTTTTGAAACTCATGACATGATGTCTACAGGCATGATTGTGTCCGCTGCACATTTCAATTAAGTGGTGAAGTAAGGCTCAAAAATGTTCCAACATCTCACTTTTATCATGGCTTTTGCCCCCAACATGGATCCTCCTAGGCCTGGTTCCATGACAAATTATTTAACAGGTTTAAATGCACCTATAGTGGTGGGCCATTATCATATCTTCATGAATGATTCCTTCAAGGTCTAGTTCAAGAAGGCCTTTCCTAAATAACTTACAAATAATCTTTTAACATTTTGCTAAATTCCTATTCATTATACTTTATCACCTGGCACTAGACTATTATTAGCTTCTGATTCCCAGAGAAGTAAACAGACAATGGCAATATGTCATAAATGCTCTAACAGTAGTACAGAAATAGGGGGCAGTCCAACAAAGAAAGGCATATAACATAATCACTGAGAGTCACAAAAAGCTTCTCAAAAGAAAAATGAGACAAAGGATTGGGTGCAAGGTATAGGTAGAGAAGCATATGCAAAATTTGAAATATGGAGCTGAATCTACTACTGAAGTAGGGCACACAAATGGAACTAGACAGAATGGCAGGAACTGGATAGCAAAGGGCTCTCAAGGATATGTAAATGTGGACTTTATCCAGAGGGTAGTGAAGTTATTTTGTCTTTTTTCCCTTCCTCCTATTCTCCTCCCCCCCCTTTATTTTGGGGGTGGTGGTGGTTTTGTTTGTTCATTTGTTTAAGAGACAGGGGTCTCACTATGTTGGCCTGATTATAGTCTTGAACTCTCCTGGGCTCAAGTGAGTCTCCTGTCTCAGCCTCCTTGGCACTAAGACTGCATTCATGACCACACTTCAAATATGCCCCCCACTCCACTGTTTTGTTTTTCTCAACAATGGGGTGACCTCATGAGATTTACATATCAAAAACCAATCTTGTGTGTGCAGAAATTACAAAAATAGCATCATGAAGAAGACTAAGAAAATTAAAAGGTAGCTATTAACATTAATAATGGAAAGTGTATCTTAAGTATAGGGCAGGAGAAAAAAATGAATGAAAACAGGAATATTTAGAAAATAAGATTAATTAACCAAACTTGGTGATGTGGGGGATAAAGTGTTAAATGTCAAAATGACATACAATTGCGGGTGTGGTGGTGCATGCCTGTAATCCCAGCAGCACAGGAGGCTGAGGAGCCCTGGTTTGCTCACTGGGGTCTTCCCTCTGGCTGGGCTCTTTGGGGTTCAAGGTGCATAGGGACATAGTGTGGAAACACAGTCTCTTCACAAACCCTGTGGAAGGGAGAACAGAGGTGTACTCAATTTTCTTCTCAGGTAATGGGCATGGAATGATGAAGTGATTGGCAAAGACAGGATCTGAACCCAGTTGTTTAGATTTCACATTGAGTTTTCTTCTCCATGATCCCCTCTGCTCCATAAGGTGAGGCGTGATAATAAAAGCACCAATAGTACCAGGCGTGGTGGCACACACCTGTAATCCCAGCGGCTTAGGAGGCTGAGACAGGGGGATCGCAGTTCAAAGCAAGCCTCAGCCTCAGTGAGGCAATAAGAACTCAATGAGACACTGTCTCTAAATAAAATACAAAATAGGGCTGGGATGTAAATTGGAAGTTGAGCACCCCTGAGTTCAATCCCTGGTACCCCCATACAAACCAAAAACAGACATACAAGCTCTCAAAAAGTTAAACATAGAGTTGCTATTATGACCCAGCAATTCCACTCTTAGGTATATTCCCAAGGGAAATAAAAGCATCTGTCCTCATAGAAAGTTATACATACATGTTTATAGCAGCATTATTCACTATAGCCCGAAGGCAGAAGAAACAACTCAAATAGCTTCTTCAATGAATGAATAGACAAATTGTGGAATAAACATATAATGGGATATTATTCAGCCATAAAAACAAATACAGTCCTGGGGCTGGGGTTGTGGCTCAGTGGTAAAGCGTTCATCTAGCACATGCAAGGCCCTGGGTTCAATCCTCAGCATCATATAAAAATAAATAAAATAAAGGTATTGTGTCCAACTACAACTAAACAACAATTTAAAAAAAAAATGCAGTACTAACACATGGTACGATTTAGATGAACCTTAAAAACATGAGGCTAAACCAAAGTGCCACGCCTGTAATCCCAGCTAACCAGGAGTCTGAGACAGGAGAATCACAAGTTTGAGCCAGCCTAGGCAATTTAGTGAGACCTATCCCACACTAAATAAAATACAGAGGGCTTGGGGTGGGGTAGTTCAGTGACAGAGACCTGGGTTCAAACCGTGGGAGTGAAGAGGGGAAAAAAAACCTCAGGCTACAGCTGTGGATGTAAACTAAGGCAAAGTGACTGCTACCCTATAGAAGATCCTGGGTTTAATCCTCAGCACCGCAAAAAAAAAAAAAAAAAAAAATCAGACTAAGGGAAAGAAACCAGTTACATAAAGTCACATATTATATGACCTCTTTTATATAATAAATCCAGGACAGGCAAATTCAAAAGACACAAAGAGCAGAATAGAGGTTACCAATGGATAGGAAGTGGGAGAAATGGAGAGAGAGAGAGAGAGAGTTACTTATTGAGCTTGTAGGAGTGGCTTATGGGTTGATGAAAAGGTGCTAGTGGTTACACTCA